AATAAAAATGCCTAAACATTTAAAGTTCCTATAATAACACTTGTGGAGTGAGATACACTTGCGGGTGCTAGAGCATTCAATGCATTTTCGGAGGAGCAATATGCATCGATGCAACGTACAAATAATGGAAGTGATTTTATCGTACGGATATGTTGTGGTAGGTTATTCCAGAGTCTAGAAAATTTACAGGCAAAGTAATTCATATAAAGAGATGATTTAGAATAAGTTTGTTTCACAAGTGCCAAGGAATTACGGGTTTCATAATGAGGAGTCTCTGCATATTGAATTACATGATTGGATGTAAAGGATAATTTATTAAGTAGTTTGAAGAAAAAAATAAGATTTAGTTTGAGTCTCCTCTTCCATAAAGGGTCTAGCTCTAGTTTTTTACATCTAGAATTATAAGTTAAGGAACAATCAGCTCCAAGAATACGAAGTGTAAATCGTCTCTGTACTGATTCCAGCCTTAATTTATCCTTTATGCACGCACTGCTAAGAATAAACGTGCAATATTCTAGAAGAGGTCGAACACAAACTTTGTACATTAAAATTCGTGATTCATTGTTATGAAGGTTTCGAATTATGTAACCTACTAGTCGTTGTGACTTGGAGGTCTGTTTCGATATCTGTTCTGTAAGCGATAAGTCTTGGGAGTATCTAAGTCCTAAGTCTACTACTGTATGTAACCTAGTTAACATTTCTCCATTTATGGTAAGGTCTAGGTTAAGTGATGTATCGCCGAAGCATATCCATCCACATTTAGCCGTATTAAGTTCCAGTTGCCATTTTAAGCACCACTGTGCTACCTTGTTAAGCTCCAGGTTAATGCAAGTTTGCACATTTTCCAGCTCATGTGGAGAAAATGAATATACTAGTTTAAGATCATCTGCATATAGAAGGGGCTTACCTACACAAAAATTTTCGCAAATGTCATTGATAAACACTAAAAAGAGCAAAGGTCCTAAGACACTACCTTGTATTACACCACTTCTAACGGGGACAGCGTTAGACAATCAAGAGTTAATTTTAACTATTTGATGTCGATTGCTGAGAAATGAATCAATCCAATCTAGCAAAGGATTTTGAACCCCGTAGGATGCAAGTTTGCCTATAAGAAGTTGGTGGTTAACCATGTCAAAGGCCTTAGAAATGTCCAGATATAGCACTAAGACTAGATATCCTTGGCTACGTAGAGAGTAGACTAAATTAAAGAAGTCGAAATGACATGTCATGCAAGATCGATTTTTGAGAAATCCATGTTGAGTATCATTGATAAAGTTTCCAGCGAGTAAATAGTTGGAAAGTTCATCACTTACAATTTTCTCCATAATCCTAGAGATCACTGGAGTAATATTTATTGGCCGATAATTGTTCATGTCAGTCTTATCTCCAGATTTGTAACGTGGTATGATGTACGCGGTTTTCCAACAGTAAGGGTAAGAAGCGGTTTCCATAGAGAGAGTAAACAGCTTTAGAAGAAGAAGTGGAATATCTGGACCACCGTATTTGTAGAGAAAGGATGGAATCCCGCCTGCTCCATGACCGCGCGAAAGCTTAAGGGCGTTTATAGCCATATTAATTTTCTTACATGTGAAGGAGATAGATTTTATGTAGTTGCTGGTCACGCACGTAACTCTTGAAGCAGAGCCACTTGTGGTTCCTACATCATTCGCAAAAGTAGCACTGAAAAGGTCTGCCATAGTTTTAGAGTCGTATATAAAAGTGTTATTATGCTGGATGCATGGTATATCAACATTTTGAGTTACTTTAGCGCGTTTATTGAGAAGTAGAGTTAAGTTTTGTATTTTTGAGTTACTATTAAGTGCTAGTATCTCCTCATTAATGGCTTTTAACCTATGTGTCTCTTTAATTTGATTAAAAATTATTGTTGTTTGCGCAGCTGCCGTGAAGTCGTTTGACTTGAAATAACGATTCTGTAGGCGTCTTAGTTTATTACGATATTTAGCTGGTATATATAATTCGTAAGGTTTAATAAACCTGTACGTTTTAAGAGGTACAGAAGAATCTAAACAAGAGTTAACGATCAAATAGAACTCGTCGATAGTATCTATGAGATTAGTACATGAAAAAAAGTTATCCCAGTCTAAAAGTTTAATCAGTGAATGCAGGAGGTCCCAGTCGGCATGCTTAAAGTCTCTATATTGACAGGTTTTTTGAATGGGTCGGTTAGAAGAGGGATATATAGGGAGAGAGCATACTACTGTCTTATGGTCACTGCTTTCAAATTCATCGTATACCTTTACAGACAGTGGGATAATATCTCTACTAAATATTAGATCGAGTATACTATCACCTCTGGTTGGGGTACGAACCCACTGTGACCAACAGTGCATGTTAATGGTTGCCGAGAACTCCTCATTACATGACTGACAGCTACCGGTACTCCAGTTAATCCCAGGATAATTGAAATCACCAGTGATAACCTTAGCATTAAAGTTTAGAGCAGATGCATGTATGAATGCATTGATAATAAGATTATTCCCATTATTTGAGCTCTCAGGAGCTCTGTATATACATCCAAGGAGTAGACTATGATTCAGGGTGTTGAAAGATATCCAGACTGATTCTGGTAAACTATTCAGGACACTATCTTCAACTCTATTAGTTGTTAGGGTATCCAAAGCATATATAATACAACCACCTCCTCGCTTAGTTTCTCTGTCACAGCGATAGAGTCTATAGTTTTGGATATTTAATTCTGAGTCAGATACTGCATGAGAGCACCATGTTTCAGTGATAAGTATGAAAGAAGGCTTGGATAGAAAGGCTAATGTTCTCAAGGCTGAAATTTTGTTCAGAAGTGAACGTGCATTGATAAGTAATAGATTTAGAAAGGGCGTATGGAGTGTGAAAAAACCGAGAGCTTCCCTATTGATGTCGTGTATTTTGGATTTGCATAGACTGTGGTTTATTATGTTTGACTGATCACATGGGCGATCGCTTGAGCAAATTGTAGTGCTAGTGGGACAAGGGATTTCTGAAGGCCAAAAAAATCATTATTTTGATAAAGCGGATTAATTTGTTGAACTTGACTAGGCGGACAGTTAAGACAAGGTTGGGTTGATGGTGAGTAACCCAGTAATCCATCTTGCCCAATCGGAAAGTGTTGAGAAAAGTTATGTGTTACTGGTATATTATTTAAAAAGTTTGATGTTGGGTAACCTAGTAATCCATCTTGCCTAATGGGAAAGTGTTGAGAGAGGTTACGTCTTACAGGTTTATCATTTAAAGCGTTTGAGGGTACTCGTGAGGCTCGTTGGTTTACTGTGGTCTGTCCAGTATTAGGCCTACTTACATAACGATTGAAGTGGCCGTCTTGTGAGACATTTGAACCAGGTCTGCCCTTATATCCTCCCCTACAATGCGTTGAGTAAAGCATGGTGTCGGGAAGTATAGTCTTATTTGTATTTAGTAGGGCCATCGTAATACTTTTATTATTGGGTCTAGAACCAGAAGGTTCTGTACAAACATTCTTCTTACGTGGCATAGACTTTGTAGTCTCGACAGTGTTTTTCATAGCTGTCGCATTAGGACTAGGTATTTGCTTATGGGCTTCTAATGGTAAATTGGATACTATCGGATTAGTGTAATCAGTAGATGTACATTGCTTATCAGATGTCACTACAGGCATAATAGGTAAGTTAGCACTCTTTGTTGGCAGATCAGAGTACTGGAGAACATGAGATAGGGTATCAGTATCAGTGGATCCCGCAGCTGATGCGTCGTGATTTTTTATGATCTCAACATCTATATTTTCGTTCATAGTACGCTTTTGCGTAAGTCTTTGATTGGTGGTCTTATGTGAGACTATGCGAGCGTTTCTAAACTTCGTAAGCGCGCATATCAGCCGCTCAGATTCTTTTAACTGTTCAGCTAATATATGAGAATCAAACCTGAACAAGACCGGGCGCGAGTATTTCTGGTGCTTCTTAGTAAGTCGGATGCATTGGCATGGACTGTCTTGAAGGTTAGATGCTTTTAATATCGAATTCCTTACAGTTTTAATGGAGACTTTGTCAGGTATATTATAGACAATCACGTTATTACGAGAGACTATTCGCTTGGTAACTTCACTAGCGATAAAATCGATAACAGATTCTCCTTTTATAATGTCATCAAGTTCCGCAGGAACGATGTCTTTTGACAAAAGCAGTTTTAAGGGTGATAGTGTCTTTAGTTCTTGCGTCAGATCATCATGCTTTGATAAAGAGCTAGAAAGTGACTCGACTTTAGAACGCATGTCGCTTAGTTGCTTAAACAGAGTGTTTAATTCACTCTTCATATCATCGATCCTTTTTGATCTTGAGGTGGAACCCATTACTAAATTAGAAACAGAGTCGTCCAGCAGCACGAGTGAAGAAAGACCATTCCCAACATTATCAGATACAAAAGGAGTAGCGGAGCAAGAAGTATAGGTAATAACAGAATTGTTAATATCTGAAGAGTTAGGACTTTTCCGTGCTCGTTTTTTTGACAGTCGACCCATATTGCTTAAAGTATGAATTCTAAAGCTATGTATGAGTTATAAACTAGGACTCAACGATATACAATCAATATATATTAGATAGCGTTATCGTAAAGCAAACTTCAAACGTACCGCACAATATAGGAGGACAGTCGAAGTTTGCTACCCATCGTTCGACGAAAACATGGGCACTGTTTTGTCAGTAATGTCCTTGATCGGTACTGTTTCTGGCCTTTGTGTGGAACGGTACACGTTAGGAGGTAAAAGTGTTCATTTTATTTCGATAAGAGTCCTACTAAATCCAGATGAACATGGTCGAAACGAGCGTTTGGAGTTTTGGAAGATCCCAACGGGCACTTGTTGTATCTCACCATTTTACCGTAGTCAACCAAGTCCTCTCACCAGTCAGATACAGATCTTAAAGAACAGATAGTTCGCTACTTCCCACAAGCAAAGTTTAAGTATTAGAGTTTGTTTTTATTCGCTACTGACCCAGGTCTGTTGCTTTGACCTAGTGGATTAAAGCCGCCTATTTCGTTTATGATCATGACCATGGTGAAATCAGTCGTAAAGAAGGGACGGAAAAGATTGACTCACCAAGAGGATCCGAAAATTAGGGATGGTGTTGTTAAACTTAGAGGTTTGTTGCTATCAAAGTCTCGATGTTTTTAGAGAAACTAACAAGCAGACAAAAACAAAGGCTTAAGAAGCGTCTACTAAAATCCGATGAACTTGTTGAAAATAGAACGCCTCAAAAGGTACTTTTTGTTGATGACCTTCTCTCTATTAGGTTTTCGAGTCACCTGACAGTCTGCCTGCGACTCAAAGTGGATTTTTTGAAAATGATGGTGACGAACTTATGGTTGACGATTTTGGACGTCTATCGGATTTGGAAGATGAAGACATTAAGACAAACGCGGATTTTGTAGAACCTGTAGATGAAAAAGAAGATATGATAACCAACCTCACTTCCGAAGATGCAGTTGAAAAGTCTGTAATGGATTCCAGTACATTAGACCAACGCATTCGGAACTGGCTTTATATTCTCTCCGATTTCAAAAACAGAGCACCTGCAGACCTCAGTAGGAGTTTGTGTGTTCGAACTCTAATAAGTGACTTATGTTCTCGTTATTCGTACAATCAGTTCCTTATGGTGAAACTTCTTGATTTGTTTCCCAAAGAGGTAATAAATAATCGAAGTCAAATTCAGTCGCAGATTGTTGAGGTTTTAGAAGCTAATGAAGTCGACAGGCCAGTGACCATTCGCACAAATACATTAAAGACACGTCGCAGGGAATTAGCTCAAGCAAGTCCTCTTTGTTCATATAATTAGATAGGCTTTAATAAATCGCGGTGTAAACCTTGATCCTTTGGAACCGTGGAGCAAAGTTGGACTTGTTGTTTATTCATCACAAGTACCATTAGGAGCAACACCAGAATATCTTGCCGGTCATTATATACTTCAGGGGGCTAGTTCTATGCTTCCTGTAATGGCCTTGTCTCCTCAGTTAGGCGAGCGTATCTTGGATTTGTGTGCTGCGCCTGGTGGGAAAACAACTTACATTGGCAAGTTTTGAATTTTAGTTGATGTACTAATGAGCCGAAATTTTGGAACTATTGGTGTATCTTCAGTACTACTATTTATTGTGTTTTTATTAACTTTTGTTATTTGAGATGGTTACCTGGAGCCATTACAGGGAATTGGTTTTTGCTGTTTCGGGTATGTCCAATTCTCGAGATAGCATTATATCACTCAAGTTTCGGAAAATGTTAGATGTATTTACCGGACTTCTGATTTTTAAACCCTGTGGTACTAAACTTAGTCCTATCACACGCGAGTGATACTTCCCATGTACTAATAATTCTACAGGGTTTGCTTATTCATATCTGTAAGATATGTACGAATCTTTACTCTTATCCGTGTCGACCTCAACTTTGCCGGACGGAATCGGTGAACTGTTTGTTCCTTGGGATCTGCGTCCGGGCAGTTAGAGTGAGATCTTAGTTTCGGAGGGGTATGATGTTTTAATATTCCTCATAAAAACTGAGAAGAGTGACAATTTAGTTAATAATAGATGTGCTCAAGGGACAGCACTCAAAGTAATCTCCCTTACTACTTACAGAATTAAAGTAACCGTTGAACCTTGAGAGATTCAACCTAAGAGTAGTGAGTTCCGCAGCTTACTGATCAGAACTGAGGAAAGGTGTACATGAGTCTGATATGAAACATCAGAAGCAAGAACAACGATTAAAGCAAAAGTTTACAAGTTTGTCATTCTTATAAGCTATTTGCAATCTTCAGCATTTTAACGTCAAGATAATGAAGTTCAGCATACTTGTGGAATTTGACTTCTTTGCCCACCGTTTTTGATGATTGTTGCATAGATATTTTTCAGTCTGTATTAGAGATCTCCTTAATTCTAAGTTCGTACGAGCTCACAGTTCATCAAATTAACTAGTGCTCTATTTCAAAACACCGCAGGTTTTATGCTACAGCTTCTAAACGCTCTATTTCTCTAAACAGTTGAGTATCCAACCCTGTGGTCGCCTGATTGTTGTTGCAAATGATCGTCAACTGGAAAACCAGCTTATAAAAATTACTTTCTGCACTTTTCGGATAACCAAGGACTGCCTCCCCGTATGTTGTATCAGAAATAATCCGGAGTATTTTGTTACTGCTGACTTGTTATTTCAGCTACTCTATTTTTTTCTTTAGGAATTTCACAATCCTGTGCTGGTATAATGTGTCAAATCCAACTGATGTACTTAGGTGTTAGGTTTTACATTGCCTAGAACTGACCGGTACGTATAAAATTTAAGCTAATCATCAGTCAGTGTACACACATTATTTTAGTAGCAGTATATTATTTAAACGAATTTTTTGTAAATGGGCTAGAGTAGTGAAGTAAGATCATTAAACAAGCTGGAGTTCATTATTTTGATACTTAACTGCTATGGATGATAACAAAAAATTATTGAGACAAAGTTTTTCCATGTTGTCTTGCCTAAGTTGTAGTGATTGTTTTAGTTATCATCCAGAAGTCTATTTTCTGTGCTATGTTATGCCCTTATTTAATTATTCTACTTTATGTACAGCACAACTCATGAAAAATACCGGCACCATTTTTGCAAATGAAATAAACCCCAATAGAGCCAAAGCGCTGCTTGGAAATTGTCATCGTATGGGTGTGACAAATACTGTCATCTGCACAGAAAATGGGCGGAAATTTCCAAATATTATGTCGAACTTCGACCGAGTCCTCGTAGACGCACCGTGTTCTGGAACTGGTATCATTGCCAAAGATCCTTCTGTGAAAACCACCAAGAGTAATGACGAAATTCAAAAGTGTGTGGAATTGCAGAAAAGGTTACTTGTAGCTGCTATTGATTCCTGCAAAGTTGGAGGTTACGTAGTCTATTCCACATGCTCCATATTGGTAAGTAACCTGTGACTACTAGTAAGAATACTTTTTGACAAGGTTCTGTAGAGAGTAGACTAAGTTTCTAATTGTTCGATATTATGAATATATGGGAGAGTGACATAATGGCTAATTTTATAGTTCGTCATACAAAACGCGAGTTAGAAACCAAACAGTTAGAGCAGCAAGTAAGTTTTCGGAATTTTGATCTCCTTATTTAGTCTGCGCACGAATTTTTAAGTGTTGAGTCCGGAAATTGATACATTGTTAACCAAATGAAACAAGTGTTGTTAACTTGTATGTAATAAACTTGACAGTTTAGTGAACAAGTATAGTCTCGTTTCGACAACCTGTCTTTTAATAGGGATGGACGCTTCATTCCCGTGTTAAGCAGGCTGGTAATCACTAGATTATTCACTTTTTTACTTGAACAAATGTCCTATCTGACAGAGACTTTATTTCCTTTATCAAAGGCTAATTGGGAAAGAATGGCCGATCAAGATATATTTCAAAACGTCAAATTAGAGCCTTGACGTTTGAACTTATTAATGATGCACGCCGAAATACAAGTAGACCAACTTAGAGCTTTTACCCGAGGTAAAAAGAGACGTTAAATAAAATATAGCACAAATGTAAAGGCAATCCATTCAAGCTATTGAAAAAACGTGTAGTGATTATATCCGCCGTGCCGTAGCTTTGCTTACTTCATATTTATGTTGGATGTGTGCAACTCGACTCGAACTATCAAGTTCTTACGTAACAACGATTAATATTACTTAACTCCATAGTTATTCGAGCGTAAATTAAACTAGAGCACTCACTATCAAAGGTATGGATATTTTTCGCCACCTCTAATGTTTTTAACGCTTTCAAGTGTCAGTCATAGTCAAAACTCAAATGCGTGGCAGCGTGAGTTATTGTGATATAAAAAATATGTATAAGAAACCGGTCAAGATGATAGTGAGAAAAATCAATTTTTGCATAATTCGGTTCAAAAGCTGACACATTTGAAGAACAAAGATTTGGAATCAATTCGACAGTTAGTAAATTCGTTAACTGATATCTTGATTTGTAAACTCCTAGTTTCTCTATAATCTGTGCCTACTTCAGGAAAAATTGTACTTCGACGAAGTCGGTTGAACATGAATAACACATGTCCCGGTCACTGTAGTCAGAGATTAGGTCCCGTATTGTGCTTATTCCAAAGGTCATTGAATGAAGCACTTCGCAAGTTACTCTAGCCCATCTATTAAGTCACACTGTTTGACAATAACATATAGTCAGTCAGTCAGTAACAGCGTGGAACTTCATACGTACGTACATCAGTTCGAGTTGCCACACCACATTAGCTCAGAGATTCAGTTATCGATTCAAATCTCATAGTGGTAGAGGTAGTGAAAGTATAAGTAGAGATAGGGGACATTAAGGTTTGATGATGTTATTAAAGGAGTATAGTCCAGTGGAATAAATTGGGAAAGAAAATAAAGGACATGAAGAATTCAGAAGATTAGAGTTTGAGAGAACACAGAGAGTGGATGCACCTGCGCCATTGCAGACGATTTTGAGCCATGTCATTCAAGGTCTCTAACCATCGGTTGCTATCATCTCGCGGTCCCCAACCAAGTAGTCTACACCTACCAACACGACTCAGTCCACTTGTCAGTGACTTCATGGATTTGTGCCATGTTTTGGTCTGGCCGCCCCTAGCTTTCTTCCAACCTACTCCTACACCATAAAACATAGCACGTCGGGGCAGTCGGTGGTCGGGCATGCGCAGCACATGTCCCAGCCATCTCAACTGATTAAGTTTCACTGCTTCCTCAATTGATTTGCCATCACTTACATGGCTGTCTAACTTTTTCTAGATGTTCCTGAAATATACTCTTAACTTGACTATCATTAAGTAGGACCCTAAGGGGTTTCCTTGCAGCATGTTTCCTACGTCTAGCAAGGCGTAGACAAATACGCGCTCGCACTAGAGCATGATCTGAGTCTAAGCATGTGCTCCAGAATGAGCGACAGTCTTCTATCGAGCCCCTCCATCGGTGGCTGATAGCGATGTGATCTATTTGGATCCAGCGTTGAGACGAATTAGAGGGTCGCCATGTTAAAAGATGTTTTTCCTTATGCTTAAAGTTAGTGTTTGCAAGAAAAAGGCGGTTATCTGAGCATAGCTGCAACAGACGGCCGCCGTTATCTGTTCTTTGAGCCGCGACACCATAAGATCCACCCAGGTGTCTTTCCCTTTCGCTTAGTTTACCTACTTGAGCATTAAAGTCACCAGCCATTATTACTACATCTGAACGCCTAGCTTTTCGGAGAAGGTCGGAAAGCTTTCTGTAAAACTCATCTTTTACATCATCTGAGCTGCAGTCAGTGGGAGAGTGGGCAGTGACGACGAAGAGGCAACGACGAGTATCCCTATCTTTCCGAGTCCTTACTGTTCCGTTTAGTCGGACAGCGCACAAACGACTGTCTACTGGGATCCAGTCTAAGAGAGCTAGTTCTGCCCTAGGACTCAATGCTATACCTACGCCAGCGAGGCCACGGGACGCAGCATTAGGGCTTCCAGATACACGAAGCGTAAATCCAGTTGGTTCGTTACTTTGACATGGTGCGGTCAAATGAATGACACTATTAGGATCCTGTGTGCGAGTTTCGGAGACGCAGCACACATCGATGGAGCGAGGTTCTAAAGTCTTAGCTAAGGAAGCCTGTTGTCCTATTTGGCACAGGTGTTCGGACGTTGAGAGCTCCTACGTGTAGTTTGGAGCGTGGTTTCAGGAGACCAGGAATAACATTCCGCGTACTCGGATCGTTCGCACTAGCGTAGCGAGGTGATAAAGGGACGTGAGAAGGGTTAGTCGTGGAGATAAGAGAGTTATTAGGAGGTGTAGGAAGGATTTGAATGTGACCAAATTGGTCTCGTTTGCTGTTACGGGTATGAGGGCTGATGTCACTTCCCGGTTTCCTACACCGTGGAAGGGTATTTCTGGAGGAACCTGAAAAGGAAATCGGATTAGTGTTGGTCTTATCGACCTGGGTGCGTGACCGCAGAGCCCAAGGGACAACTGCTTGAGGCCGGTCGCGCACGGCCTTTTTGTGGGAGGTTTTTAATGTGTTAGCTCCGTTCTTCAAACGGCTTTAACGCTGGAGACGGAAATCCGTGGGGTAAGGTGAGGTGTGACATTTTTAGGGCCAACCTTTTCTAACCCCTTGCTTCCTTGTGAGAAGACAGCATCGCTGCAGATGCTGGTTGTCCGAGGGAAACACCTTACTGCTGTCACACCTCTGTGCAGTCAGCAGTACGACTTGAGATGCTGCTTTTAGTCTTACTGTTCTCCAATCGACCTGCCTGGCATGGTAGAACCTGCAGGAACATGTGTTCCAGCCAATATAGCTCGGTTGGGTCATCACGATAGACAAGCCCGACCACCACGTCAAGGTAGCAGCTACGGTCGGGACAATAACATATAAGTAGACATTCGAAGTACGAAATATACATATATAAATATGTTTAAATATAATTATGTTTCGATAATGTAATATGAAGACAGATTATCACATATTTCTGATAATCTCCGTCTTCTTATTACATAATCGAAACTTATAAAAGGGACTAATTGCTTTATAATTATGTTTTCAATTTAACATCAAAAGTATCAACATTATTATATTTTTGTTTCTGTTTAACAAGGTAGAGGAGAATGAGAATGTTGTAAACTTTGCGTTAAGACGAAGAAAGGTACGTCTAGAGGAAACGAAACTGTTTGGGGAAAAGGGTTTCACTGCGTAGGTGAGTGCTCACTAAAGTATAATTATCTCCACAGATTCAAAGGCTATCAGTTCCATCCACATATGACACGCGTTCGACGTTTTTATCCACACAAGCACAATGTCGATGGATTTTTCGTGGCGAAGATGAAGAAATTAGCGGCGGCTACTAAGGAGAAAGAAGTTTCTTAAGACTGGATATATCTAGATAAAGCACCAGATTTACCAAGCCTTCACTCATGTTTGTGAATTAAAAAGTTAACCTAACTTCAGTCCTTACTTCTTGAGAACTCAGCGCACGACGGTCTTCAGGCGTTTTTTATAGTGTGAGCAGATTTCTGGTCGTAACAATATGATTCTAAAATACTTGATATCAGAAACCCAGATGACTAGCCTTATGTACTTCTTTCTCATGTACCCAATTTGATAATGAGTCATGCCGTGTAGTTTGCACTTCCTTCTAAAGGACTTCTAATTCACTTATCATATCATACAGTATCTCACCGCAAATAACGTGTCACAAAGCTTATCTATCAAAGCTGTATAACTAGAGGCGAAACAGCTGAGGCCTAGAGTCGTTTATAAAACAGTATACAAGCTTGTATTGGAAAAAAAATCAAGTAAAAAACTAGAGATTGTTAGCAAAATATAGACATTGATGACCACTACTCGAAGTGGAATTTAATTACAGTCGAGGTTGAATATGTCATAAATCCAGGAAATAAACTTATTCCATCAAATGTAGTTACGATTGATTGCGCTTGCGAAAGTCTTCAAAAAAAGCTTTTACTTCTGATTCTGTTACAATCTGAAAGACAGAAAAGGGATATGAGTAACAAATGGTAAAAATAGAAGTCAATGGTTATCTCACAGTAGAAAATATAACAAGCTACTCGCCTACATCTAGGTCGACATGTCTTCATTTGGCACAAAATAAATATCGGACCAGTATCGGGTTTGAACATCTTACAACAAAACTTGTTTCTTAGGGATAAACGTTTTTAGAGACTCAATGTTGGCATACTGTGACAGCACTGAACTTCATACATGGGAGGAAGCTAGAAAGTTTGCACATGAGCTCCACTTTCCGTCAAGTCATGGTATGATATGTCGCAAATAACAACAACGACCAAGGCCAGCATAGATTACTTCACAATTTATACAACTTGAAGCATAAAAGAACTAATCAGTTAGGTACTTACGTGGTTTTCATCTCTCTTCTTTGTGAAAAATTCCTCCAGAGCCTCTTTCAGTCGTACAAATCCTACATTAAATGTATACTTCATTAGTAGTTTTGAGAAAATATGTAAATGACAGTCAGTGTATTCAATTACAGAGCTTGTTAAGCTTATTTAAGTGGGATTAACACTTTTTCTCGCTTCAGATACAATAATCTGATTGTTGACCCCATTTAACCTAGGTTTTTGCTGGGTATATCAGAAGGGGTTTTTGTGGAGATTTTAGTAATTGCAATAGTTGAAATCATGAGTCAATTGAAGCTAGACCACCATGGAAAACCTGGAAGCACTGGGCGGCTATTTCGTCCTAGTATACACTGAATATTTGCAAACTTATGGTGACGAAGTTGATGTAATGGAATAATCTAACCATAATTTATACTTAAATGAAATAACTCATAAGAAAATACACTTTGAATATAGTAATATAAGTCTACAAAAGCCGCGAGATATTTTTACATGTCCTTGCAACATTTAAAACATCGTTTTGTTTACTCAATATTGTAACGAACCTGCCATAAGAAATTTCCGTGTTTAATGGAGACCATGTCAGTCAATAACTGTGACGAACTCGTCCTAACTCTGTTGATTCTAGCGTAAACCCTGTTTCTCTTGATAAATGTATGTTGTTTTCGTTTTAAGACACTTATTAAAACCTTTATGATGTATAAGCACTCGAGAACATGTTAATGCACAGGAGACAGAAAACATTGTAGATATCTCTCGAATTTCTAGTAGTCGGATGTTGTCAACACAAATTGTGCGAGCAAGCACACAGGGAGTATTGTTTATTGGGAGCCTATAAACTCTCATGTATACTTGATTTGCTTTTTATCTGTTCAACGTATGTCAGGGGCTTACTGATTTGGAGTTCTGGACTAACATAATGGCGAGCAATAAGTAACCCGTATTGAATTTAACAATTATTTACGAGAAATATGTGCAAAATAATCAGCATATATCTACAAGGTGTTCTTATTATTTCGTTTTATAAATTCATAATTAATATCACGTGATAAATCCGTGTTATGACAGTTACCTGTTGCAAAATTTACTGCTACAGGATGCGGCAACTCTGCAAGAGCCTCAATCAGTGTGCGTTTCTCTTCCTCGTTAATTGATTTAGTCCTTTGTTTTCCCAGTTGCATGTAATGGGATACTGAGTCTTCAGGATCCAAAAGAAATTCGACTTTAAGGTGTTTGTACATTTTCTAACCCAAAAAAATTGTAAAACCAAGTGCTTGGTAATTAAAGCATGTCAACGTAAATCAAAATCTTGACTTTACTGAGTCCAGAAAAGCAACAGAGTATAACAACTTACACATACGTTGCTGACAAAATTATTGGGCTTTAGAAAACATTAACATGCCTAATATAACTTGTCCTATTCAGTTTTCCACTCACATTCGTTCTGCTCGACTTCAAAGTAATTCTCTTCGAACATTACATGAATTAAACTCGTGTCCAATTATAACTAATGGAATTTATTGACTATTGAGTGCTCCCACCCATCATTTTTAGAGAGCAGTAATAAGAAAACCTTATTACAATAAAGGTGCGAATAATCAGTTTCCTGATTTTAGTGGTACATTTAGAAGTGCTAAAAATAAGCAAGTGTATAATATGAACATCACTGTTGATGAGACACTGGGACATATACATGGTACTTGTTCATGATTCTGGACAACCAGTTGCTAGAATAAACTTCGTGTATTGTTTGAGAAAAATTTACATCCATTTAAAAAAACCATAGTATGTCTTTGGAGTTACTGCAATTCTTTAAATTTGCTACCTAGATTTTTACGAGAGCTTTCAAGAAAGTGCAGACCTATTATCTGAAAAGTTTGGAGATATTAACTATGTCATATACTGCGATATTTTGTGTGAGCAAAATCAGGATATTAGAAAAATAAGAATTGAATTAGGGACACTAGGAAACTGAGTTTACAGCAAAAATAATGTTATATGGAGGGAACATGTCTGCGCTGATACAACTGATTTGTAGCCCCGTCACCTAGGGCTTTCAACCAAACGTAACAAGTGCCTCTTGGGTGACAACCAGGATGGCTTTACCTTCTGTTACCCATTTGTTTGGTGGCCAATGTGCTCATGGACTGTTTCAATTCCTTAGCCATCACTCAACGTCTAATTAGCTAACCATACGCAACATGACCCAGTCATTTCATTTGATGATTTGCTGCTTTGATGGGCTTCCAATACAAAAAATAAAATCTTTACATTGTCTATGTTCTTAAATCATTAGTTTTTCTATTACGAAACTTGCGAGACATGATACTCTATTTCTTTGAAAATACATGTTGCTTCCCAAGAAAATTGGAACAAACATGTTCTTCCAATAGTGACGAGCTGTCGAGCCAACTGATACTCAAAATACTGGCAGCGTAGAATATTTAATAAATAGCACTCCGAAAATTCGAGGTCCTGTAAATTCGAAAAAATGATAGCCTTAAAGTCTAGATGGAGACCATTAGCGTTACAAGATACCGTTGACTTTATTCGTAAATATGTTCACTAGTCATTAAAAAATTGATAAAAGCGACGTAGAGTTCAAGTAATTTTTTGTTGATTCAGAGAACAGCAAGAAGCTTTGTGGAAATTGTTTGCCATGTATTACCAAGTAGTCGAAATGTGCGATAAACTTGACCTTAAAGAAGGGCTGGGCATATTTCTGCACTAAATTGTTACCTGCAAGCCATTCTCGCGTTTCCGTAGAAAACCAATTACCCGCTAAACTTTGATTTATCACAGCACCACACGACCTAGGAATGGCTCCTCATATTTCACTAAACTACTGGAAATACAAGGATAGCGTGGTCGTTGAACTAATTTCGTTAACCAGAACCATTCTCAAATACAGAATACATCGAGATCAGCGTAGTTTAGAACGAACACATACGCTAGACAGTAATTACGCCTATTATTTGACAGTGAGAACAAATACATTGGTGAATACGTTACAAAGAAGTCACTTTATATATAACTACTCATTATTTACCGTATGTCAAACTCGTTGATACCGTGGACATACACAAATGTGCAGATCACGTCAATATAACTGAAAATTTTCAAGTTTTTAGAAACAGTAGTGTAGGCATACCAACTACCACAAGTCTTTAAGGCAAGAAAACTAGGGGCGGCCAGACCAAAACATGGCACAAATCCATGAAGTCACTGACAAGTGGAGTGAGTTGTATTGGTAGGTGTAGACTACTTGGTTGGGGAACGCGAGATGATAGCAACCGATGGTTAGAGACCTTGAATGACATGGCTCAAAATTGTTTGCAATGGGGTAGGTGCAACCACTCTCTGTGTCCTCTCAAACTCTAATCTTCTGAATTCTTCATATCCCTTATTTTCTTTCCGAATCTATTCCACTGGACTATATTCCATAAATACAATCATCGAACCCTAATGTTCCCTATCACTACTTATACTTTCCCTACCTCTACCACTACGGGATTTGAATCGATAACTGAAGCTCTGTGCTAATGTGGTGTGGCAACTCGAACCGATGTACGTAAGTACAAAGTTTCACGTTGTTACTGACTGACTGACTTTAAGGCAACTTACCTTGCAATTTTCGCATCGGCACAAGAAGCTTCTCCAATCAGAAATCCAAAAGACTGATGGTACTAGGTTGAAGTCAAGATTGTCAAAGTTATCAAGAGACGAACAGCGGAACTCAGGAACGTGTTGTTTCATCTTACTGGCCCACATGGACAAACGACAATTAGAATTGTCCTCCGGAAGAGTCGCACCTTCATTTACGGTTTTCCTCAACCTTTTACATTCTGGAGTATAAATACACTCGGTCAAGCTGTTACTCTTTGTACAAGTAGCTGAATCACAAGATTGACGAAACGTCTCCTCAGTGTTATATGCATACATAAATAGAAACGCGTATTTTTTAATGCACATAAAACAGGTCATCTCGTTATAATCGTCGGGTGGTACGAATTCTTTATCCATGTTGAGATGCTAAGATAATTTATTAAGTCAAATTCGGGTTACCTCCAAGTGAAACCAGTTTTCACACATGCCACACTGAATCATTTCTTCAACACCCTAGTAAAGAAAATAATAAGATACAAAAAACTACCTCATAATCCGGGTCTGGATACGGACGTTGACACGTGCAATACCGGTTAGAAAAGTTGTCATTGTACCGGTTTAATACATTTTCATCGTCCTTCTCCTTTGAA